AGACACACACAGATGTCCAAACACTGTTCTTCTCGGCTGAGAAACAGAATGAACTTCCGAAGCAGGTCATGCGTCTGGATGGATGCCATACACTGTTAAGACATTAGGAGATTTTATAACCTACTCTCTTATTGTTCAAATTATGACATACAGTACCGCTTTGCAACAACATGTGATATGTGACAGGGCCTTTACCTCTGGGGTAAGCACACTGAGGTGAGATACGACAGCTGGGACTGACATGATGTGAAGGAGGAAGGATCTTAGCAGGTTATCCGAAAAGTGAGCAGCAACGACTGGCCTGAAAAATATTTGATTTAGTCAAAAGGACAGCCTGCAAATAAAACCACAAAACACAAAGCTAACTGGATATAACATGTCTCCACCACTTGTATTAAAACTGGAGTATTATCTTATTTTTGAACAGCAGTTACATCCATCAAATAAGCAGCACACAGCTCACCGTAATGACAAAGAGAAGATAGCTGTTAGAGTGCCTTTGGAGAGAGACGGTTTAGAACGAGCCAAGCCATTGGTCAGCAAGATCTATACAAGAGAAGTGATGTACAATGTGCATTTATATTACTGGCACTGAGGAAGAAAATATGTGTCACACTACTTCACTGAATCTCATGGTAAGACTGAAAAGTACGAGCTGTAATACTGAACCTGAAGTATTGAATAGAATCCCTTTTGATTCAGATGGCCCATTATATTTTCACAAATCCTTGTCAAAGCAGGTCTGAGAGCTTCTGTTAAAATAATGAGAGGAAGGTGTTGTGTTTTTTGGCAAAAAGCATGTCCTGCAAAAACAAATTGGATGTTTATAATAATAACAATGCCACCTTGGCCAGAGACTCACCCTTCCCTCTGACTATCCGCCAGGTTGAAGTGTCCGTGAAGGTCACCAGCATGGTGAGGTACAGCGTTACCAATTTATTGTCCTGAAGTATGTCAGGCTGCATATGACAAAACAGTGATACATACAATTAAAGTCATACAATGAATATCAAAACACATTTCCCAGCGTCAAATCAAGACTAACCTTTAAATTTTTAAGTAGTTGACAGCAAGTCCATAGCACGTCTTTTATCTGTTTGAGCCAGGGGATGGTGAGGTCTTTGGAGAGAGCCAAGGAAACATACCAGACCTGAGGGCCAAATGTGAGAACAGTCACTCAGACAAAAATCCCATTTAAAAATTGTTTGATACGTGGATGGTCTAAGCATATGCACACTCACTTTAGAGTCATTTTCAACCTCCATGCTGGCAAGGATTGCACGACAGAGCTTCTCGAACCTCTGTGTAATGTACAAAATTACAGTCATTTGAGTCACAAAGTAAGCATTAACAGGTTCTTATCACTGATCCACCATAACGTTATGCTGTTACTTGTTTTGCCCACTCACTTATTTCTGTACATACTCCTCATTAATGCACATTTGTGTCTACGTGTACGTGTATATGTATACATGTGTGTCAGTATGTGTTTGCTTGTTTTATGTATTGCATCATTTGTGTGGATGTGTATGGATGTGTGTATGTATTGTATGTGTGTTTATGTTATGGTACTTGTTTGGGGGACTTAGCACGCCAATAATGAGTCTGGTTTGGTGGCCAGGGGAAGTTTTACCCATGACTACTTGACCCCCAGATATGTATCTGCAGGGTGTTGTCATATGTTGTGTATGTTATTTGTCTTAATTAAAAAAAGGATTAACAGGTAACCGAAACAACATTATTATGATGACAGTGAACTAACTTATGCTACTTAAAGATGCTCACTAAATATTGCTATTACATATTTGCCTAAACAGCATAGCTGGCAACTCACCATCTTATCCTCTGGGCGATATACAAATAGTAATTTCCGAGCTATTTTGAAAATTGAAAGTGCATTTCTTTTTGTTGTCCCAGTTTCAGAGGCTTGAAAATAGTCATCAACCTCTTTCCTGATGAGACACAGACAAAAATTATTGACATAAGGATACGTGAACATGAAACCAAATATTTGCTATTTTACTAACAATGTTCTTTTTTTAAAAAAAATAGTTTGTTTACTTAGTTTTCGGTTTTATAATGCCAAAATATATTGAAAGGACAAACAAAACAATACAAAGGAAAATGGAACACAAAGAGAACAAAATGAAAAGGGTGCCAGACAGTATACAAAAATATGTAAATCATCTTCCAAAGATGTTGTCAAAATAGTATCATCTCAGGAGAAAGGTAAAGTAACACTCATGTAGCCAAGCAGGGTCCTTGTGGATGCCACTGTGCAAAGAAAGGCCCCCAAATCCATTCAGATCTATGCAGTCTTTCCACTTGTATAATACATAACATGTCCTTGAGCCAATGTGCATAGCAGAATGGAGCAGTAGACTTACGCATGAGGAGAATAAGTCTTTTAGCAACCACCATTCTTAAGTGTAGAGTAAACTGCATGTTGTACAGCAGCTCAAAAGCCTCCGCAGAGCAACCAAAGATGGCAATGTCGTGGTTGGGCTGAATGTCTCTGGAATAAGCTTTTAAAAGCCACTGAAACTGCAGTCCAAAAGCTGTGCTAGTGATCCTTCAGCAGAGCTGCACTTGTCGCATTTGAAAGACACTGATGGGAAGATGTGGCTCAGTTTTGTCTTGGGGTAATGCAGCCTATGCATCAGCTTGTAAAGGATTAATCAAAATTGACAACATAAACATCATAAATGGGTATTTCCTGATTGAAATACAAGGAACCTATAAATATGGGAACCTTAAATTCTTGTTGGGATGTTTTGCAGTGTATGTAAATGACATCAGCTGACAGGAAGTAAAGAAGGATTGCCTTGCAATGCCATAACAGTACAAAGTTCGTGAGTTAAGTGAACAACAATGAAACCAAGACACTGAATCTTCCCAGAACTCTGCCAATATCTCTGAATTCAAGTCACTGGCCCAGACTTCCCTAACAAGATCTAAAGAAACTGAAGTAGTACAACAGTTCACAAACTTTGATACTCGCTTCATGGAATCTGGAAGGAGCAAGAGATTTTCAAGAAAGGGATGGATCTTGAAGTGTGGGCACCTTTCCTTAAGGTAGTTCCTAACATGATTATTAATGATGTTGGTGGCACACACATTAAGCTCAATGCTCTTCAAATTACAGGTGACTAGTAAATCTGCAATAAATAAAAGTGGAGACTACCGTATTTGCTTCTGGAGTCGGCAGCGACAGAGAAATCTTCTGACCAGGGCTTGGATGTGGATTGCTGCTTTCTCCTTGTCCTTCTGTCCTTTCCTTTCCTCCCTGGCCTGCCTGGCTTTATCCAGGAACTCGGACTTGGAGCTTTGAGGTACACTAAACATCGTGCACCCTGGAAAAGAAGACTCACTTATATTTTGATCATCCGCATGCTTGTATCGAGTACATTTTGACAATGGGTGCAGATCACATATCTGCGCTTTATGAACACTGTGACTGTGATAACACAGCATTCCGACAACTGCACATTATCACACTGTTGTGAGTGAACTCACCTGTGATATTGCTCAAACGAAGATTTTGTCTGGCCTTCAGGCTCACCTGGCGCTATACCTCCTCAGTCATTTGGGTGTCCTTGAGATCCGAGCGGGAGGAAAGCCAAACAAAAGGTGAAGACTAACTTGCCATCTCTGGAGCAGCGGGCGACACAGGAAAGATGGAGCTGGGATAGTTAGCACACAGGGCTAGTTCGCCGCTGGTCGACTTGTACTGTCTCACGGATAATCTTTTCACACTCATTTAGCTATATTTGTCTTCATTGCGGGGTTAGGTTTGATCCTGTGTCAGTGACAGCCTCAAAAACACCAACAACATACCGTTTCGAAATGTAAACAATGAGAGGAGATCCGTACATTGACTGCAGCCATTAATCCCCTGTGTCGCACTAAATGATTCCGGGTAGTGTTTGTCCAAATGTATAATTTGTTTTATGAGAGTTTTTTATCGACAGCAGGCCCCATATATGCCAAACTGTCTTCAGTCTGTTGTAACAACAGCGACTTTTTATTTCTGCTGGCGGATAAAGCTGTCGTCCTGTGTGTAGGGTGGGTGGCGAGGGGGGGGACTGTTATCACTGTTACTCCTTCAGCAGCGGAAATGTGCAGGCGGCTAATGAAATTAAAGCTATGTTCTTCAATATGTGAAATAAAAGTAGTAGGACAAAAAGCTGGTTGAAGTGAAGAGCTGAATTATCACTCATGTCTCATTTCACCCCATCTTGGACACTCAGCAACGTTTAACAAACTCATGTTATCTGTCTCTTTAAACAGAGCAGGGCAACGTTGACGTCATTTTTCTATCTGCGCAGCGTTGCACCGGAAGGAAGTGGGTGTTAGCTGACTGACGTTAGCAAGCTACAATTAAAAAGTCTGCTGCGGGTTCTATGGTAAATATATTTATGTTTTATCAAAAACCAGTTACAAAGACGCTAATAACGTCATGTAGAGAAAGTTGTTTTAATAGTCAACGTCATAATATGTGTATCTTTTGCCAAATTTGTGACAGTATAGGTAACTTTAAGTAATGCTAACTAGCTAGCTCATTAGCGGTGCTGGCTAAAATCAAATTACTATGAAACGTAACTGGATTGAGGGATGCGGTGCGGTGTTTCACCCTACACAGAGTTAAAACAAATACTGTGATCAATCGTAATAACATAAAAACGCTTATTTTTAGTGTTAGGAAAACGTAAAGCAGTCCCACAGTAACGTTAAAAGCCCGTAGTACTGTCTTTGAATTGTCTCTGCCATGTTAGAGCTTTGTCGTAGCTCTGTCATGACAGTCTCATCATGACTAATGGAAAGAGCTATTTCTTCTAAAATGTTTTTAATACTTTGTAAGACTCCGGGCCATAGACAGTTCATTTTGTTTCTCATATTGCGAATACAATTCTGTGAGCGGAGAATATAAGTTTTACTATAGCTCTTATGTAGAAAACTCGTTATTTTATTATATAACACAATTTCCTTCGCTTTAATGATTTTTATGGCTTTGTGCAGTATCGGGAATGTTTTTGTAAAGCCCTACAGTATCAGAGTCCAACATCAGAAATAAATCGCAAGGGTCACTACATTTATTGTAGTCATTTTGCACATTTAAAAGATTAGGATGGTTATATTCTATACTTTTCCTTTTTGTCAACAAATCTTGTAACAATACTAACAATGAATTCATTTTAATAACTGTGTAGCAAAAGCCTGCTATAGCTTATTGTCAATACATATACCCAACATCTTCCTTTGTCACAATGAACATGGACACATTTATTCTGAGTTGATCCCACATACACTGTCCTGCTGCCATTATAGATTGCACCATTTCAAATGAAACTATATTTGTGGCCTGATTAAAAGTCATTCTTTCGTCAGCTTTAGTTACAACAAAGGGGCTTGGGGCGGAGTGCCACAGTTGGGTGGGTGGATTGCCGGATATTGTCATTGTTTAAAAAAAAGAGCTATCTGCATAAACATAGACCTTTGTGGTAATAATGTATTTTTTTCCACCCAGTGCCCTAAACAAAAGTAATCCACTGACATACCAGCCTGGATCCAGGTGTCATGCTATGTTTTACCTTTTCTCCTCCAGGAAGAGATGTCAGGAGAGAGTGTGGTGAGCTCGGCAGTGCCAGCAGCTACAACCCGGACTACATCCTTCAAGGGTTCCAGCCCCAGCTCTAAATATGTGAAGTTAAATGTGGGTGGGGCACTGTACTACACTACAATGCAGACACTAACCAAACAGGACACAATGCTCAAAGCCATGTTCAGTGGCAGGATGGAGGTCCTCACAGACAGTGAAGGTGAGCTGTCGGTGAAAATGTTTAAATTATGTGCAGAGTTTATCAGCCCTGCACTGGCCATGATCTTTCACTTACTAATGTCTCACCATTTTCATATCCATAGGTTGGATCTTGATTGATCGTTGTGGAAAACATTTTGGAACAATCCTTAACTACCTTAGAGACGGGGCAGTGCCACTCCCAGACAGCCGACGGGAGACTGAGGAACTGCTCGCTGAGGCCAAGTATTACCTTGTCCAAGGCCTCGCTGATGAATGCACAGCTGCCTTGCAGGTACCGTCACAGTAGAGGGCTGTCAGATTGCAGGGCAATATATTAATACTTCAGCTGTTATCAAATCATCTGAATTTTTGTTAAATGAACTCCACAAAAGTCATATTCCTTGGAATCATTTCTTAAATTCATCAGCATTCCACCTAAAATTAGAGTTTTAAATTAAGTTCTGATTAAATGATAACGTTTCAAAGTTTTATTTTCAGTGGACTTTGTTGTATATCAGACCAATGTGGTCTTGTTTTTTTTTATAACCATACTATATTTCCCACCCTACCACTCATAATGAATAGGTCTCATTTTTTTTACTTTTTCTGTTAATTTGCTTTCTTAAAAACATTTAAAAATCCAACATATCTGTTCATTTTGAATAAAAAAAAATGATTCATGGGTAAGAAAATCAAATGTATAAAAATTCAGGTAAAAATCTCGCTCAAACTTTTTTTTTATTTTCAACTACTATTAGGGGCATAAAATCTGATTGAAAATAATTTGAAACCAATCCACTTAAAAAGTCTAAAGATTAATGAGCTATTTTGGGGTAGGGTTGCATATCCTTTACCCTCCTTGCTTCTGTGTTCCACCAGGTGGCATCCTTCCCATAATAATTTGAATGTTTCAGTTTTGTAGGTGGAACTTTTTTAATAGAAAACTTTTTTTTTTTCTCATCCAGAACAAAGAAACTTATGAACCCCTTTGTAAAGTGCCTCTGATGACATCATCCAAGGAAGAGCAGAAGCTTATTGCAACCTCAAATAAGGTGGGTTATGTTGGATTTTTTTTAATTTTTTTTTTTTTTACATATTTACCTGGATTTCTAATGTTCAATATCAAATTGTTGTTTAGATTTTTGTTTTAAAGTACAAACTTATGTGTCTTCACAGCCTACTGTCAAACTGCTGTATAACCGAAGCAACAACAAATATTCATATACCAGGTGAGTCCTCTTCAACTGAAGTAAAGAAGGAACATAATGTGGTAAAATCATAAAAATTGCCTTAATAAATGAAATGACTGTCCTGTAACTCTTTTTTTAACTCCAGCAATTCTGATGACAACATGCTGAAAAATATTGAGCTGTTTGACAAGCTGTCATTGCGGTTCAATGGTCGGGTACTCTTCATCAAAGATGTGATTGGGGATGAGATCTGTTGTTGGTCATTTTATGGCCAGGGGCGTAAGATTGCTGAAGTGTGCTGCACCTCCATTGTTTATGCCACAGAAAAGAAGCAGACAAAGGTAAATGCGCATTTGTAATATGCCCACTCTGAAGAGTTCTTTGCTCTTTTGTAAGCATAGAGCTACAATATGTTGTTTAATGTCTCTAATCTGTTGTGTAACACTCTACTTCTCTGCTAGGTTGAATTCCCTGAGGCACGAATCTATGAGGAGACCCTCAACATCCTCCTGTATGAGTCCCATGATGGGAGGGGTCCAGACAACGCCCTGCTGGAGGCTACTGGGGGCGCTGCAGGACGATCTCATCATCTGGATGAGGACGAGGAGCGAGAACGAATTGAGCGAGTTCGTAGGATTCATATCAAACGACCCGATGACCGCACACACCACCACCAGTGACCTTTTCTCCTTCGACCCGTCGGCCTGTGTCTCTGACCCTGGACAGTCTTAGCACCACGCTTGTGCCTTACATCACCCAGCGCCTCTCTCTCACCTCCACTCTTAGTTTACCAGCTTTTTCTCCAGGAGACTACTACGAGATGAGTGTTATACAACAGTGTGTAGTGGTGAAGTGATTTTGTGTTTTTTGTGCGTCATCTTTGTTGTGCGTTTTGACAGGCTGTTGTGTTTTGTTCTTTGTGTGTTTGTGATATAACTTCTATCACTGTTCTCTAGCCCATAGACATGGGTGTTTGCATTGAGCACTGCAGGTGACCACAGTTTCACCTGTGTGTGTGAAAACAAAAAAAAAAAAGTATTGTTGGTATACATCTGTTATTTGAGGTCCTATCTGCATTACATGCAGGAGAACAAAAATTATATCATGCAAGCAGCTAAAGATTAATGTACATAATTTTTGCTTCTCCTTAATGGTTCTGACGGGTCCACTGTAAGGCCATCAGTGGATTAACCAGGTGTTGTACACAATGGGGCCACATGGTGGCACTATTTTCCTCTTAGAAGATGTTACCAAGGCTATTTTGTAGCCTGTGGTTAATAGCAATTAAACCTTTTTAAATTTTATTAATTTTTGATACATTTAAGATATGACAGGCGGATGCAACATTTCACTGTAGTGCTTCTGCCATATTTAGTTTTAACATTTACGCATTTTCCCTTCACTCCACTTAACAATCATTATTTTCAGTGGAGGGAACTTGAGCTGTGACCTGAGGTGTTAAATGTACTGGGGTGATTGAATGATGGATGCTGAGGTTGAAGTGAATGACTGTAACCAGAGATCTCCCTGGCAGGAAGGGAATCCTGTCTACAAGCTTTTAACAGGGAGAGAAATTAGACCTATCCTTCATCGCCACATTCATCGGAGAATGTACTGTTTGCACACGATAGGTTTTAGTTGAAATATGTCTAACAATCACAGTACTTGTAGGTCTGTTGTACAGAACATATATGTATGTTTTATATTTATACATACTTTATCACAAATAAATTTCTACAAACACTCTTCCGTTCTTTTTTTAATTTGCATATTCCCATCATCAGTGAACATACAAAATTATCATACATATGGCTTCATTTTGAGAATCAGAATTACATATTATTTGAAGCAGTTTATGAGTGTTTTCTACATTAATAGTTTTGTAGATTTAAAAGTGGGAGTCACAGTCCAGTGTCAGGATTTTGCTTTGAATTTAAATGCTCAAAACAGCAGAAACAAAAACTTAAAGCACAGAATGATGTTAAACTTTTAACCTCACATGTGAGTTTAATATTCTTTGGAAATTAATCATCGACTAATGTGTATAG